TAGACATAAAATCTGATATTTCAAGAGATAATTAAAATGAATTTTTTAAATTATTTTGGACGATACCTCTTTTATATTTTTTTGACCACACCCTTGTCCGCGCTCCAAATCGAAATTTCTCAAAAGATGCGAAAATTAATTTTTGTTGCAATAGGCAAAAATTTAACACTCTCTTGTGATCATGGTTACTTAGCGCCAAAATATCCATGGATAAAATAAAGTTTATAATTTCACGTTATAGCGAGTATTAAAAACAAAACTTGCAATATAAGCGAATTTGGCGGCCACCCGGAACCACGGACGCCAATTGAGTTTTCAACACGGAACATGCTGAATGTCACTCTTTCATTTTTCTTGGGCCTGGTTAGATCTCTAAAAGCATGGGTACCTCTCGGACTCTAAGCAGCCACCAAGGAGATCACGGGAACATCAAACCTTTGTTTAATTAGATATACAACATAAACGCCAAATTCGAATTCCTACGTCAAAAATCTTCGGTGAATATTATATTATTGGAGGCATGTCTAGTATGTATAACAACCAAGAGCCCAACCTATTTACTTGAATTCATTTCACACTTAACTTAAAACACGTAAATTCAAATCGTCCCCATGTTTTTGAGCGAGAGGGAGTTTACCATTCCGATCATATGTAAATATTTCCTTTGACATTAATTTATGATCACTGGAGGCCATGCGTTACATATCTTAGACGGAATAATAAGAGGTAGGATCTAAGCCAGCTCAAGGATTATTACACTTGTTTTCTTTAGTAGTGACCAAAATTTCGAGTAAATATATGTGTAACCAGCGAGAAGATATATCTTGTAAATAGCTCATATGAAAGGTTCCATGAGTGTCATACATAAAATAATTAAATGAACTTTATATACTTTTATTCTCACATACTATTCCCCACCTCGCAAGATACAGAATCCCCAAGTGTTACCATTCAAACGGGTCTTTTTCAGCTCCTGTCGTGGACCCCTTAATCGCCTTCATGTACTTACCCAAGTTCTTCCCCCCAACGGGACCCACCTCTCTTCAATTTCTAACTGGAAGCCCGCCCTCGGTTCCAAGCTGTCCTCGGCGCAATAGACCATCAAAAACTAAATTCTCCCACATTTGGAAAATCTTGTATCACTCTGTCCCAAAACTTCGGAAAAGAATCCCTCGACAATAGTAACACCGTGACAGAGACCGGCGCGCCAAGGCCATATATCAGAAGGGCACAAACCGTAGCTCCACGTCACTCTTTACAAAAGCGGGAACATTCTATCCCCGGTGGATAAGGACGTTTCAAATTCCGCCCGCTCAATCTCTCACCACCCTATCCGTCGAATCCTCCCACACTCTCGGTCTGCAGGACGTGCCTTATCATCCCAAACATCACACGCTCGTGCAAAAATATTTCTGCAAGAGATCGTTAATCGGTGATTCGGATACACCTCACCTTAATATGGTTCACCACTACGGTGATAGATTTGAGCAGGGATATTGAATTACCATTTGTAATGTCATTATACAGGCACACGGGTAAATAATTCAGTAATGTTACACACACTAATCACACCAGGCCATATTCGACAAGTTTATTTGGCGACTTTTATTCTGTTGGATTAAATATGTATTTAAATATATGAGATGTATCCGTTCAATATAATTGTTTGAGTTACGCATTTTTTTGTTATGCTTTATCCACTTCACGCGGCTTTGGAAACCTTAGTAATCTAACGAAATATACTAGGCCTTATCTTATGTTCTTTGTGAAGTGTACCAAAAATGTGAACTATATGACTGGAGCTCACGTTACACACTGGACTTTTTGTCCACAATTCAGCATCACACCATATCTAATGCACCCATCAGATGACTTATCATTTATAATAGTAGACCTTACAATCACCGACAACTTATATAATAATGTAAATATTTTGAGGAAGAGATTAAAAAATAATAATCAACACCGGCCATACCTTTCTCTCTCTCGCTCACAGCACGACTGACGCCCATCTCACAAAATGAAGAGCGAAAGTTTTGAATTTCATACTCTATGATATAACTTAACAGGATTCAAACAAGAAAAAATCGCTCCCACAACTCTTTTTATGAAAGAATACATTGATACAAAGAATAAATAACTTACACAATTTTACATAACTAGGTCCATCATTTGTCATTGAGGACTCATGATTAACCGTAATTGCATAGGAAATATCCAAAATGAAAAAATAATGCGTTGGGCTCTTGATTTGTCCTCTCTCTAAAACCGCCAGTAATACGGTTCGGACTCTAATTTTGAATGGGCTATGCAATAGCTTGAAACTTGTGATTGTTTCACTCCTATTTTCCCCGGTATCGCCTAACACCTTTCATCTAGCGTCTGCGTTATTTCACCTAGAGAGAAGAGCATTCCAATCCTATATGTTGGATACAAGCGTTTGTAAGGAGGTCTGGGTGTTAACACATGTCGCCCTTCTTAAAACAACGCAAAGGACTTGGCCCGGTTACTTTTCATCTTTTCATTTTTGGTAAGTCGTAAATTGTGTCTTTGGTTTAGCACTTTTTGGCGAACTCTACAGTGGACCGTCACGAACCTGGAATGCACCTTCCAAAAGGTGCGTCCGATTGGCCACTCGTACCTCTTTCTCACTTTTCAAGCTTCCCATTAAGAACATTAAACGGTTGTCGGGAACATCATCCAATATCATTCATGGTGTGTGACACACAACTTTTGTTTCACACTACCCACGGTCAGGTCTGCACGAACTAACTGAGACCAAGTACTCGTACCTTTTGATCTTTAAAATTTTAAAATAATTTTTAAAATGGGCGGTACATTTCCTTATCATACCTATATTGGTGAATTTCTGCCGGCCCAAGTTGATATCTTCTGAGAGTAAATATTTCTGTTCTTCATAATAGAGGACATATATTATAAAAAATGCGGATAATTAATTCAGTTAAATAAAATTTTTAAACATTAGAGACCAGTCAGAACAAAACAGTTCACGGTAGTTGCATGCTTCATATTCATAAAATTTCTAGTTTTTAATATATCACATTTATAGATAGAATTCTACTCTTGCACCGAAACACGGAGACAGCATAGAAAACTTTCGAGAGGGGAGGAACAGTGAAATACATAAAACCCATCGGGAAAGACGAGAATAAAGAATACTGAGTTTATGAAGGATGAACACAAGAAAAAAAAGAAAAAAAAACTTAAATTAAAATTTGCAGAAGCTTCATTGTTTTTAAGGTAGTTGTAAATGTCCTGAATCGCTGCTGGAGTTGACTTTGCACAACTTGCATCTTCCTGTAAGTTCCCTCTAGTCCACGTTCACAAAGTGTTATTCCTTCTGGGAAATGGGCACTCCTATTGGGATGCAGAAACATGGATGGAGTCAAAGGAATTAAGTCTCCAGAATCTTCTGTCAGCACGGTCAGCGGTCGGTCGTTGATGGTGGCCTGAACTGCTGACAAACTTGTGCGCAGCTCTTCACTCGACAATTTAGCCTTTCCCAACATACGCCGTAACTGATTCTTCATGGACCGCACCAAACGCTCCCACCATCGACCCCACCATGGTGCAGACGGAGGGTTCAAGGTCCACTTGATTGCTAACACGTCACACTTCAGGAGCAGCTCATCCCAGTCCAAAGTTTTCAGCAAGTTTGCTACACCCACGAAATTAGTCCCATTATCACTGCAGAAGGTTCGCGGACGTCCATAATTATTGATGAACCGCTGCATGGCTCCCATAAAAGCTTAGGTGCTTAACGATGACACCACATCAAATGAGACGCACCGGTAGACGGAGCAAGTAAAAAGCACAATCCACATTTTGCTTCCGTCCTTCAGGATGACTGGGCCAGCCAAATCCACTCCAGTGGTCTCGAACACTTCTCCGGGTGTCACACGGTTAGTTGGGAGGGAAGCAGGTTCCACACACATAGGTTTTGCATCATGTCGACGACAATTTGGACATGCACGGATAATTTTCTTGATTGCTTTTCTTCCTCCCAAGATCCAAAATCGCTCTCTTAATTTGCACAATAGAAACTGCACGCCAGGATGAGAATAAAGTTTGTGCAGATCTGTAATCATCATCTTCACGAGATAGTGGTCGCTTGGTAGAATCACGGGACATCGAAAGCAATCAGTGTTCTCCTTGTTTAGTAGTCGAGTCTTCACACACAGTAGTCCATTTTTCTCCACCACAGAAAGTTTCTTCGATAATTCCCCAACATCAGAACGAAGACACTCTTGTTGAATATTGTGGAGACTCTGATATTCTGCAACTTTGAGTTCACTTGGACTCAACCTTGATACTTGCACATGTTTGGTTTCATCCTTGTTGCAGTTATTCACGAATCGTAAGATCCATCCCATCACTCTAACTGTCTTAAAAAATTAGGAGAATTTGCAATGGAACCAGGACTTTTCCCTAAATACTTGCATGATGGTCCGTTTCCGTCCCTTGCCTTCTTTTCGAACCTCCTCTTTGTCTGTCTCACACTTTTTGGATGATGGCCATTCTTCTTCCGGTCGCTTTAGCCAGTTCACACCCTCCCACCATTTGGACTCAAGTAGTTCATTTGGAGAGCAACCACGCGACGGAAGATCTGCAGGGTTGAGTACACCAGGGACATGTCTCCGTAGGTCTCATCAGATTCTTCTTTTTCCAATTCGGTTTCCACTTCCTTCACAATTCGTGTAGTGGCCGACCTCTTAGTTGTTCTCTGCTTCTTAATCTTGTCCATGGCGAATCTCAGGAACAACAGCAAAACAAAAATATTAACAAAAAGTTAATGTCAACAAATCGCGGAACGCTCTTGACCTCAGCTGCTCCCGAATGCTCGGGATGGAACCCTCAAAGAGGCAGTACAGCGTGTGATTTTTAAAAACCCTCGGTTCCTAGTTCCCGACCGTGACAGCTCCCTCCAATAATAGTAAATTATGGATATCACCTTATAATACCCCGAACACTCAGGGTCGGGTCCTCAAAGAGGCAACACAGAATGGTGACTCCTTTCCAAACAGGTTCCTCCCTCACCAGGTCAGCAATGCTCTCGCTGGGTACAAGGGCAGGTTCACTCCAATTCGACTTCTTCTGCTTCTCCTCGCCGGGTCAGCAATGCTCTCGCCGGGCACCAGGATAGAGACACGTCGACACAATTCACTTCACTTTCTTAGCAAAACAAGATAAGCCCCATACCAGGCGCCAGAAATGTTGAGACCGTTAGCTTATCCAAATACCCGTTGGGACCGTCTCGAAAATAGGCTTATCTTATGGTTTTGTGAAGTGACAAAGGACACAATGACTGGCTCACTTTAAACTGACTTTATTTGTCCCAAATCCACCAACAAAAAACATATATATGAATCGGATGACTTATCATTTAATAGTGACCACCAATCACGACAATTAATTAATAATTACAAATATTGAGAAGAGATTAAAAATAATTCACACACGGCCATGCCTTCTCTCTCTCTCGCTCACAGCACGACTGACGCAATCTCACAAATGAAACGAAGTTTGAATTCATACTCTATGATAAACTAACATGAGATTCAACAATAATGCAATAAATTACCTATTGTTATTTACTACAACTTAAACAGAGACTTAAGTTTCGCTTCTTCACATGGACTCAGGTCTGGAATTATCGTTGTTGGAATTATGGTGGTAAGGTTTTATAAGCAAGGAAGCTGTAGGCATGTCAAAAATTATCCATGCTGAGGGTTATTTGAGATTATAAACGGTCCCTATTAACTTAACTTTCAAGACGGAGTACTTTTTGGATAATTTTTTTTTATTTTCCTCATGTTTTCTATCCGTTTTTGATACAAATTAGAGCCACCAGTTTTGAAAAATTAAAATTTTAAACCTTCTTTCAAGGGATTCTTTGGAAACTGCAGAGAGAAAAAGTTTGCAAATTCTTGCAAAATTAATTTTCCGCATTTTCAAAAAAATAATAATAATTCTCTCGCCCGAGTTCTACAAAAAATTGTTCTGCTAGCACGAGTAGACTTGACTATGGGTTGCTTATTTAGACACAATTTATATGCTTAGTTTATAGTGTGTCGCCCCATTGGAATAGGGTAAACGTGAGAAAAAATGAAGAAAAAATTTTTTTCACAGTGATATTTATTTTAATTCTAGTCTGGTATGTCTCAACCATGTGACTTATTCGAGTTTGTGTATGTAAACTCTTGTTGTAGGAGTCATATTCTAGAATTGGTTTTAGTTCGAAAAATTTGGAACTGGAACTGGAACTGGAAAATTTGGTAAAAAATGCTAATAAAATTATAGAAACAATCGTGTAGTATTCCAGTATTGAACTACATAATTAAACCTACAAAAACCCAAAAAACCCAAAAAGCCCAAAAAACCACAAAAAACCCAATAAACCCGTGGTTTATTGGCTAACCTAACCTAAAACCCGTGGGTAGTAGTTTTATGAAAAAAAACCCGGGGTTTTTTCCCACCCTGGTTTCAAAGCTTCAATTGGGAACGTACGTTTTACGTTCTAGGAGGTCACTATCAAATATAATCTCCATAAATACATACTGTTTTTCGCTAGAAATCTGTCGGTGGAAGAAATATGAAGTGGAATTTGATAATAAATACATACTGGACCTCTAACCTGGTCAAGTATATTTTGAAGTGTCATTTTAACTTGGAAAAGTGTTTTGAACGTGAGGAAAATTTTGGGGTCCAATTTTGGACTCATTTTACTATAGCTTTTTGCTAGGGCCTAATCAGGGGCCTGTCTATAACCATGTATTATACGTCTCCGTATGTTTTGCAACCCAGTTACTATTTTTGCCACAATGTCGGGCAAACACAATTACCATTCTCTTTCTTCATCCCAACCGGCTCCAATTCCTATTTTAATGTTTTTCACCAACACATAAAATGACGTCGGAAATGTAATATTCTTCAAGCATACTTACCCGCATTGTAATTTCGTATTCAGCGTCGTTCATAGGAGTGGCAATCCGATCAGTCGGATTGATCAGAGTATTTGTTATAACATGGGGCAATCCGATCCGATCCGACAATGTTAAATCGGATAGGATTGCGACTCCTAGTCGTTCGCATGCACACGGTCCTGACGCAGTATGCCAATAAGTATGTACAAATGTCTAATTTCAAAAATAATAAACTAAAATGTAAAACCCTATAAGTGTACTTTACCCGGCTTGGTAATGAAGTAATACATAATTAAGTACAGGACATCAGATTCAAACTAGACAATTATTTATTTCTTCCAAATTATTACTTTTGAATTGTTTGTAAGTACTTGACAGATTTAATTCAAATGAAAACAATTAAATTGCAAATTCAAAGTTTAAAGTTAAGGTAAATTTCTAGTTCAAAGGAAAATTAACTTTGTCCAACCAATTATGCAGCAAGAAAACATTGCTAACAGTCAGCACGTGACTCGAATCCGTCTCTTCCGCCTTCACAAATCAAAAGGGAATCAGATGAAGTTCTGCATTGGCACACCATACTCGAATCGCACCTACGCCAACAACATGGCGGTACCACTGAGAATAAACGGCAGTCAAGCGAGTTGTTTGCGTGGCAATCGGCATTCTTGTATGTACATATATTTTCAATTTCAGTGGGTTTATAGTAATTCTTCACATTATAGTCGAGACATTTTTTTTCCTTACGCCGTAGGGATTCAAGCATGCGCACGTATTTTTCGGATCTCCGATCTTCCTACATAATTTCTTCGAGAATCCAGTACAATCGGGACATTGGGAGGTTTGCAAGCACTAAATTCAATTTAAATGGATTATTTCTCCTTTTTGTGAGAATTTAAATATATTTGACCACAAACAGATAAATACACATATTTAACAAAAAAATTGAGGGTCGCCCCTTTGGTCTTAGGTTGCCCCAAATCTTAAGATTTGGTATAGTTTGAAAAATGTATAATTTCATGAAAGTGATAATAAAAGTTTGGTTGAGAATGGATAAATTAACCCGGAAATAAAATATGTTTAAGTTTAGGCGTTCGAAGGTTTGATAAGCCTACTTTGAGTACCGATAAGACAGGGCAACGTGGTGAGGTCAAAATTGATAAATAATATTTCTACATAATTAACTAGGTTTCCTAAATTGCATAATTTTTTGAAATGTGCATTTTTCGTAATCAAAATTATTTAATTTCTGGTTCTCCAATAAACAGGAAAAGTATTTGTCAGGCTGTTTTCAATCATTCAATTATGAAAAGCAGAAAAAATTATTTGAATCATTTACCTGGACGCACTTGCACGTGTTTCGGTAGCATTGTTTGTATGGCGTATTTGCTGGACAGGTATGGGAAGCACAGTCGGAGACAGCGTTACACTGCAATTCATTTTTTATAAATCAACGAACAAAAGAATTAAGATCAAATAAATGTTCCGGATACGAAGAATAACAGTAAGGTGGTCATGTTTTTTAATGAACGAGTGTGATGCCCTTTACATAGATGCATTAGCTGAATATAGGCCAAACCATGATGTAGCCACATATGTATTACCCCCCGCCGAAAGAGTCAATATATTTAAAAAATATAAGTTTGAAATGCTCGCCAAATATTATACGGTTATTATAATTTGAAAATTCTTGTATCATGAATACTCCGATATTTACTTCTTCCTATCCCTTATTAAGCAACACTACACACTCTGCAGTATTATTTCCGACAGAATCTTAACTTAAACTGAAAATCAAATAAAATAATTGGATTTTTTGGTAAAAGCTTAAACGATAGAATCAAAGGGTATAAGGATTTATGTCCCCTTGGGTGCGCGCAGAGGACACAATTGTTGCCATATGTATGTATGTATATACATGTAAGTCATGGTTCACCCGTTGGGTGAACATATTCATGTACTAGTAATCAATCCAAAGACTGATAGGTGCAATTGGTGCAACGCCCAATAAGAATAAAAAAGGCAATGAATTTATTTACCTCAACGCATTGGCAGACGTTTTGGGCACATTTTTTGTATGGTGTATTTCCTGTACAGTTTAGAAAGGAACACTCCAAGTCAGAATTACACTATAATTAAAGTTGCATCATTACGCAATTAAGACCAAATAAAAAATGTGTAATTCTTCATATGTTGAGATATGTATTTATAGAACTACCTCCGCGCGACAAGACGTGCAATATTCAAAACCTTCAATAAATTTATCACATCTGCTTATAGTTCCACTTCCGCATTGGAGAATTTCTGTGCATGCTGCATCAGTTCGGCACTAAAAATATATTTAAATATTACCCGCTATAATCGTGCTAATGTCCAATTTGGATTAGAGTTCAGAATTGTGCGCCGATTTAAAAAAAACAGGCTAAACACCAAGGTATATGTATAAAAAAAGGACGATTTTATCAGGTTTTACATTTCTTGAAATTCATGTTTGTAACCAACATGTTATATAGACTTACATATTATGTAGACATGTATGCACTTAAGTAAACATACAGCTATTTACATATTTAACAAGGGAATATCCTTCAACTGTAGTGCATCCAGATAAATACTCGCAGGTGACTATTTTCGTTCATTCATATTTATTGAATTCCATGCATGCTTTTTCACTACGACAATTTTTGTTATCGTCCCACACGAAGATCCCACTCATTCACGCATTCATCCGAGACAAGAGTTTCGCATTGATCTACATCTTACCATTCAAATCAAAGCAATGAAATTGGGGTTAATTCTGGACACGCGCTCACAATCGAAATTATATAAATAAAGATAAGCTTAGAACAATAATTAAAGTGTGTATGAGAATTCTTACCGAAACGGTGCATTCGCAGTAACCACTAAGTCTATTGCAACTGGGACGATCCTCATTCGGACATGTACATTCATTATTATTTGCACACTAAAATTACAAATAAGAATATTGCAAATATATGTATTTAGTTGGTAATTGTTCACATTCATTTACATATGGGAAAACATGTAACCAACCCGTTTGGGACATATGCATGTGTTATTTATGCAGTCGACGCGTAGTGTGGAGCAACCGTTCAGGCCAATTTGGTCGATACAATCCGTCCTAGTACGGCACTATTTATTATAATGCAGCCTCATTGTAATTATGACAATATGTATTAGACCCAATTTTTTAGTATAATCTATTATAATCTTTATTACCGTGCCTGCTCCCTCTGGAACACAATTGCATTCTTCTCGATATCTGTCAGCTTTGCATAGTCTTGCAGTTCCTCTTTGCTCTCTCCCTTCTAAATAAAATGATGTCATATTTTGTAAGCAAGAAATTTGGGTTTAGCAGCTGTTACCCGTACATTTGCATCGCCAACAAACTCGTCACCAGGGAAAGTTATCACCATGTTACATAACTACATATTCGCCAAAACTATTTACAGGGTTGCATATATCCCGTCCAAAATACTTTATTTCCCGTCCAAAATAATTTGGAAATGGGAAAAATGAGAAATGGGAAAAACTAGCGCCACCTAGCGCTATTCACATAAGAAGTAACAAATTTCCCAATTTTTCCCATTTCCCACTGATTTTCGGGGGTGGTAAAAATTGATTGTTTCCCCTTTTTTCCCACTGTCCTGGGAAAAATGGTTTATACCACTTGCTACCCTGACTATTAATGCTTGTCAAAAAATTCATCGAGATTTGTATAAGTGTTTGAGTTTGGCGGTCTAGATTAAATTTACACCAAAGCTTGATGTAATGTGTCGCTTGTTTCATTGTATAAAGCTCTAGGAACAATGCATCTACACATTTTCGCCACGACAATTTCGAAGAAATATAAATATTTGTAACAACGCGTTTTGTCTAAGGAACCTGAGAGGCCGTTTGTATTGAAAATTTTCTTTAGAGGAATTGAAGGCTTTGAAATAATTTTCGCCCGTCATACATATGTACATACTTATCAAAACTAAAGATATAAAAAGTTAAATAATAATAATTTTCGAGTTCCGGTTAACAAATTCTTCAAGTGGGGCTCAAACATTTGTTCAATAGTTATTGAAATGTTATCATAATCTTACTAGGAATACTACCGAGGTGTCTAACAAGCCAACAGCGTTCACACCTACATATGCCAGTATACGCACATTATATGACTTATCAAATAAAATTCGAGAATTTCCATGTCAAATTCAGTTTTCGCCGAGCTATTTATGACGATATTTGTGACGGTGAGTTGATTTTGAGGAGAATCGAGTCGAGTGAAGGAGGTCGACGACCGCTGTAGCCTTGCTTATCATTCGGATTAAGAGCTTAGCCTAAAATGGACATTCACTTTATCATTTTTTTAAATTTTAGAAAACCGTGACCAACCTTAAAAATTTACATTATTTTTTGAAAATTTTGTACAATTTTTTAAAATGTTGTAAAATTTTTGAGAATTTTGAAAAAAATTGAGAAAAATTGTGAAATTTTACGAAAAGCGCAAAATTTTGTAAACCGGGGACGGAAATTCCTTAATTTTATGTCATAAGTCATACACATACTGTACCTGTTTTGGTATAGGTGGGAATGCTGGGGTGCTTAGACCCCTCGGTATTATGGGCGATTCATACATATTTAATTGCTCCCACCTGTGCAACCTTGCCGTTTTACCTGCATAATTTGGATCCAGTATGCTTGGCCCGTCACGGCAATTTATCTCATAAGTCGAAGCGGTGTTCCGAGGAAATTTATCAGCAGGACATGATTGTGTCCCGTTGGCGGTGCACTGCCAAAGATAAGTAAAAAAAATGTTGTACTGCTATTATTAAGCAGCTAAATAATATACGGACTTACATATTCATTACTAAAGCAGACGCACTCGGTGCCCACCCTTTTGAGGATGCAACTAGCCGATTCTCCAACCGGACATGTTTTCCATTTACAGTCGGTTGAATATTGACACTGTTGGTATTTTTAAAAAAAATTGTTACATTTTCGATGAAATAATATATGTATTCATGTTACATTTGAGATCACCTTATTTTCCACACACTGACAGCAGTTCGTTGTCCGATTGCAAAGTGGCCCGCCCGAAAGACACCTCAAGTTAGAGGCTCCACAGCGGCCATTAATGCACTATAATTTCAATTGGAGAATTAGTATTTAAAAATTATGCAAATAGGCTTGTTCGAGCTAACTAAATGATTTCACAATTTATTAAATTGACCTCCGTTTTATGTCTGTATGTACATACACGGTTTTTTTAATCCCACATTTTTTATCTTCCGCAACTTCAATCAGGGGCCACACTCACGCAACGAGAGGAAAACAAAAAACGCTTTCATTCGTTAAACTACAACTTAAAATTACATTTTCATTTTTAGAATTCTTGCACTCACATAGTTCGCTCATATCCAATCTCAAACTAAACTTGTGTGCAATTTTGAATTTTTATCGAAGACATATCCTTGGGCAGGAAATGTTCCGAAATATTTTTAAAAAATCAAAGAAATCGCAAATGACATTGGATATGCTTAACCAACTATCCTATGTAGTTATTTGAAAAATCAGTTGGTAAATAAGCGATCATGAAAAATTGGAAAAATTTCAGGTTTTCCACAGTACTAGATAAATGTTAAAATAATAAGATCTTATGTTACGCAATATTCGAAAATGTCGTCGTCGGCAAATATGTAGTATGGGCGTTTATTTAAACATGCAAAATCGCCGTGGTCGATCTTACTGTATTTATATTACTCATTTTCGCTAATAAAGTCTGTCGATGGTTAAATCTCTCCTAACAAACTGCGGTTTAATTTAATACTGGGTATTTACATATTTATGAAAAATATACACAAGTGGATGTTATTTATAAGTTGTTACGTCGCTTTGATTTTGTACTTGAAAAATGTCAACTTACTTGGGTGCAAGTCGACTGCGCCTGGCAAGCGGACCAACTGAACGCTAATAATGTCAAGCTGGCCACCAACAGATGGAAAAATTGCCTTGCCACAAACAAAAATACAATTAACATTTCAGCACATAAAATTTAACAAGGTTAAAAGTCTGGTATTAAAGGTTCAACGATGATAAATATGAAGAATTTTGGAAATGTTAAATTTAAAAATATGAAGACATGTGTCTCTTACATTTCTGAAGCTTTCAAGGACTCGAAGCTTTTTAGAGCACACAATTTTGCAGATATTTATTTGCCCTTAATGGATTGAACGTGTTGGCAAGACTGAGGATAATTTCTTACCCGGAGATTTTATTTATGAGGTGACAGTTTGCTAAATTTAGTGAAGAATTGCATGCATATGGCGATACCCACATGCATACATGTATGCATCGATACATAAATATATACATACATACATTAGTTAACTACGCAGTTATCGAAAAATTATTTCGCAACAATTCTAGATATACATATTTACACTGTCGAGCAAAAATGAATATCATTGGGATTCCAAAAATTTTATACGCGTTCATTTCACAGACAAAGAAAGAATTTGCCTTGTTTGTTTATTTATTTGAAGATGTACTAAAGCAGAATATTGCATATACATAGTTTACCAAAATTAAATTATTTTACATCAAATATTTTGAGAATTACGCCAGGTAACACAACCAATTTTATTATTTAAATGTGTCAGGTAGTTTTAGAATGTTTTATATTTATGTAAATATGTATGTATGTACCTGAGGCCCGCGGACCCCGATGAAGGTAGCGTTTAGATTAGTGACACTGGTCGTCGACAGCATCTCGGCTTCGATAATGGCCGAAAAACTTATACGGCAAGTATTGCGGCAAAACCGCTGAAAAAATCTATTTTTTCAATAGCGGTATTTATTGAAGCGTAGATTTTTACGTGGACCCAGTTAAAACGTGTATATTTACAAAAACCGCTGCAACTTTTATGGGAACATTAGTTTCGAAAAAGTGGTTCCTCTTAGGGCACACCCCCTGGCCATCGGGAATTAAATTTTTATGAGATCTGATCAAGGGAGTACACCCCTTTGGCTGTACCCTTGATTAAGTAAATGACGTAGAATACAATATTTTGAATATTCCCGCCTCATGGAAGCTTTAGTTAAAAAAACCCCAAATCAGAAGGATGTGGTCTCGTCCAACCACACCCCCATTAATTATAGTGACCCTTTAGGTTATCCTGTCATATATATCGACATACATATTCGGCTTCCCTCAACACCAATGATTCCCCCTAGTTGCCCCAGTTTTCAAAATTGTTAATCTTAAGAAAACCCGCCATAACTTTTTGAGGGGTGACAATTTCGAAATAGTGTTTATGAGAGGGAACACCCCACTACCCTGGTGAGTATTATGCCAAAGATATTTGGTTAAAAGATTTACCCCTTTATGCTCTACCCTTGATTACGTCACGCGACCAAAAATCGGACATTTTGAATTTTCCCGCCTCAAGAAATCGATATCTCAAAGAAGGTCTAAAATATTCTGAAAAAACCCCGTTTTTTCTGAAATAAAAAAAACGATAAATGGTCAATTTGGAAGCACAAAGGAAAACTCGCAGCCGACATACACGCCGGGAACTAAAACATGGACATGTTCCATTTTTCGAAATATCTTAGCTTCCAAACTACTGTTTTGAATTTTTTGCCACTTACAATGCCACGCCGTGAAGTGGTACGCTCATATTTTAATCAGACCAACTTTATTTTGTAGTTTAACTAATAATATTGGACACATGTTTCGGCATTTTCGATAATGCTCAGTTTCTGATGCGTAATTTGACCCACAATTCGGAAAAAATACTCCGTGAAAGGCCAAACGCCTCCCGTCCGATTCTCTCTATTTCTCGTTCACTTCATTCTCACGCTTCGAATCATTGATACAAATTTTCATCTTTAATTATTTTTTTGCAATTTCTCTTAATTATCTTAATTGTTATCATTCTAATTACTAATATTGCTACAATGAATAGTATTAATTTGCTGTCTGTTTAGGACATTTAAGCAGCAAAAGAAAAATCACATTCGGATGGAAAGGCCAAATTAATATGGAAGCATAATTTTATGATATAGTTTAAGTAAACAGTGGGGTTAAAGTTCCTGAAAGTCCATATCTTTTGTAAGTTTCGCGCACAAAAATACATATTATTTGGGAACCAATGTGTTTTTCCCTTCAAGCCCAGCAATGTGAGGACCCGAGAAGAAAAAAGGGTGCAGATTCAAACACTATTGAGCGAGGGGTGCGGTGCGTTCCAAATTTCATAGAACCTCGGAGTTGCTTACAATACGGTCAAAGGGTGGGAAGGTCGCAGGTCGGTGGTTGACAAAAAA